ACGAAACAGATTTACTGTATGCAAAATAGTTTTTAAATGCTCTAGTTTTCTTTCCAATAAGAGCTATGAGACCAATACCACCACGATCAATAACCAATTTTTGAGAATCAAGTATAACATTAAGACTGGTTTTTCCTTGTGCAAGTTTAGATGTAGTTTTTATTAAATATGATAATTTCTTTTGTAAATCAAGACAATTTTCACAATCTTTTTGATCATTACACATGCAATCAAAATTATTATTACCTATTTTCATATTTTCATTCTTAGTTTCTTCATCAAGAATTTTCTTTTCAAGAAGAATGATTTTGTTTTCTAATATGTTGTTCATGCTCTTTAACCTTTTATTTTCAAATTCTAATCTTTTTGCTATTGCATGCATTTCATATAAATCATTTTGTAATGAACTATAATTCATAATACTTGTTGAAGAGTCAGAACTGACACTGGATGTTGGAGAATTCGAATTAGCCATCAAGCATATTTTTGGAGTTTCTTCATAAGCCATCTCAAGAGTTTCCCACATTTGTTTGGCAGTTTGACAGTGTGATATCCTAAAAAATTCATTTTTGTTAAGTGCAGATGTAATAATATTCTTGGCAGTGCAATCATCTTGAATTTGTTTATTTTCATGATTAATCAAGCTGGACCATTCTCTATTGAAAATAGAAGATCCTTGTTCAACAATATTCCAAACATTTATATCAATAGATTCAATAAAGATCTTCATCCTTATCTTTCAAAATGAATAATTTGTACCACAAAACAGTGGAGGTCTATTAATAAAAGCTCCCTCAGAAAAAGATAATTTGTTTTTAGCCATGAAAGATTTGGACCGAAAGTCTTGAGTATTTTTCAAGACCCTTACTCTGATACCAATTGTTAGAAAAAGAGGCTGAGATCAAGAGGGGGGGTGAATTGATCTTTGAAATATTTTCGCAATTTTACAGATTATCTATTTCAAATATTAAGAGTTTTGACTAATTCTTGAATCAAGCAAAGCAAACAATTGAAATAAAGACAACAACAGAATTAAATAGAGTAAGGTTTAGAGAAATACAACCAAGATTTATACTGATTCACCCAATCTCAGGGCTACGTCCAGTTCTCAGCCAAATTCTAGCTGAGTTCCACTAGATTGAATGTTTTACAGATTACAGATTCTAATCACACATCCAATCTACCACAAGAACCAAAATTCCAGTCCTTGCACCTAAACCTTCACCAAGAACCAACTTCCAGTTCTTGAACCAACCTGCAGCCAAATTCCAGCCACAGAAATCGTGCCTAACAATTCCAGGCACTCACATAACAACAAAGAATGAAAGAAAATGAAAGAGAAGAAACCAGAACAATCTAACTTGGATTATGCAGTCCCTGCAGTATGAGTTTCTTCACAAAAAATTGCAAAAATGCCTCAAGAAAGAACTTTCAAAAACACCACAAAACTTGCACGATTCTTTCTTGAAAAACTTCACTTATGATTGCTTGATTGATTACTCAAAGGTATATTTTAAAAGACTCAAGCAATCCTATTTATATAGAGATTTGTTCTAACTACTGGTTTAATTAATATGTTAAAACAATCTTTTAATCTGTTAAAAGTCTTGAATTAATCTGTTAAAACTTCTTTTAATCTGTTAAAATGTTCTTGATCATTTTCCAGATTTGTTTTAACTAATACGATGACGTTTCAATCGATTAAAACATTTTGTAAAAAATCCTTTAAGTTGTTTTAATCAATTAATTCGCAATTTAATCGATTAAAATTCTGCCAAATATTTTCATAAAACTTTCTAAGTGATTTTAATCGATAACAACTAGTTTTAATCGATTAAAACAGCTTAGCAAAAATTCCCTTAAATTGTTTTAATCGATTAAAATTCTGATGAACATCTTTCAAAACACTTCAAGTTATTTTAATCGATTGTTTCGAGTTTGTATCAATCAAAATACCTGACTGAACATCTTTCAAAACACTTCAAGTTATTTTAATCGATTGTTTCGAGTTTGTATCGATTAAAATACTGACAGAACATCTTTCAAAATGCTTCAAGTTATTTTAATCGATTGTTTCGAGTTTGTATCGATTAAAATAATGATAGAACATCTTTCAAAACACTTCAAGTTATTTTAATCGATTGTTTTGAAACTATATCGCTTAAAACACTCGCGTAAGGTTTTCAAAAACTCCTTTAATGAAAATAATCGATTAATTTGAAGGTATATCGATTAAAACAGTTCAAGTGAATGTTTTAAAAGGTTTTAATCGATTATTTCGAAAACATATCAATTAAAAACCTGTTATGTAAGTTTTAAGAACATTTTAATTGATAAATCTCATATAATATCAGTTAAAACAATTTTAAAAACAATTTAACCGATTACTTTGGTTTTTAATGGATTAAAAACATCTTTAGAGGCATTTTCAAATTCTTTCAAATGATGAAACCTTATGCAGCAGAAATATATGAATGATTATACCTATGTATAGATGCAGACTCACTAATCACTCCACCCTTTTAACCAAGTAACCTTTAACTTCATCACAATAGCCTTTGACTTCATCAAATCAACAAGATCTTCATTTTATCAAATGATTCAATAAGATCTTCATCACTTTCAAAGGTGATATGAGAATGTGGTAGTGGAGAAGATATTTGAGGAACAATTTTTGAAGTTGAAAAGGTGAGGAAGGGTGAGGAAGATGAATAGTTTGGGTCTTGAAAAGAATAGGGGTTTCTAGGAAATTTAGTGATAATGGGCTTGGTGTAGGCCTATATCCAAATAAATAAAATATGTTGGGATAAAAATTGGACCAATGATGGATGAAAGAGTGATAGTACAAACAATCGCATTTATTACGAGAATTTTGCATTTATGAGGAGAATGAGAGTAATAATGAAAATATGGGATAAGAAAACAACTTTTTGATAAAGTAAGGATGAAATATTTGAAGTTGGTATCGAAGATAAGAGAATACATGTACTCATTGAGGATTCATAGAAGTATTCTCTTAGGTGCATTTTATTAAGTCTAAAAATTACAAAAAGATTGAGAATAGATCGAACCTGATTGAACATCGAATGGTTGGAAAAAGTGAAAGAGAAATCGAGAATGGTGTAGCGAGGTAGAAGAGTAGTTAGGATTGATTTTTTCGAGAAAAGACAAAATATCGACAAATTGATAATCGAAGAATTAAAAGAGAAGAACATCTAAAAATTAGGAATCGAAGATCTAAGGAGTGGAAAAAGTGAACATGGATATATTGAGAGGAAGTTACAGGGAAGAATTTTTCAGTAGTGCATCAAAATATTGATGAAGGTGGTTAAGAAACAAGTTCAGTAGAATGTGTAAGTTACAAGTGAACGTGTATCAACAAGGTAAAGCAGTTACAAGATAATAACCATTCGAAAGATTTTAATTTGTAATTTTTACTTTTTACTTTTTTATTATTATGTTCATGGTTGTTTTAGCGGTTACGAAAAATAATATATATAGGATAAAATAAAGGTAATTTGGGTGATTGTCAAATTATATAACTTACATTCTAAAAAACACCGCAAGCTGGGAACAAACATTTTTAATGAAGTTCTTCACAATTTGGATTGTCACTTTAGTTGATTTCTTCTATCAATTTTGTTTTATCTTGGTAACGAGATAGATTTATTTTTATGTTATTTAATTTCCTACACATTTATTTTTTAGTAATTTACTTTTACAATTCTTTTATTATTCTTGTAAGTTATTCTAAATGTTTCAAATTATATTAAATATAAAAGTTGAATACAAACAATCTTTTTTTGAAATTCATTGCGTATTGAACTTTGAATAAAATTAGAAGAACACATATAATGTTTAAGTAATTTAGTGTGTAAATTATATTAATTATATCCAACAACGAATTATTTACACTAAAAATAATAAGGAAAGTTATTAAATTATAATGATAATTATTTTCATGTGTGTAGAATAAGACTAGTTTATAATTAAGGACAATTATTTTTATCATTGAAAAGTCTACATAACTAATGTCTGTATTACATATATGTAAATATTTGTATTCAGATAAAAATAAATTGCTGTTTAAAAATTTACATTATTAGAACGTGCACCTACTTTAATTATTTGTGTTAATCTTTCGCAAAGGATATAAATATATTTTAGCCTTATAAAAACTTTATTTGATTTAGTTGTTAATTTATTGGGTTTTAATCAATTTTATCAAATTGATTTCAGACAATATAATTATTTTGAACGGGCACAAAACTTCAGCACAAAAGAAAACTCATTTTTGTCAAAGGATAATTTTTTATATTTCAATTTCAATAATTTAATTATTTATGTTGTTTTTCATTTAGATTTGAATAATCAGTCGACCATTTTAAAATTACATGAAGTTTCTTTTTAAAGAAAATAAAGCTAAAAAAATATAAATTATTGTTAATATTATAAAATAAGATAAGTTAAATGTCATCATTATAATTATATATATATATATATATATATATATATATATATATATTTCCTAAAATGAAATATTAGATATGTAATTTAAGGATTATAAATATTTAAATTAAATACATAATAATAAAACTAATAAAAATTAATAGAGTAAATGGGTAATAAAAAATGATTCATAACCATTATTTAAATGTTATTGAAAGATGTATTCATTAAAATCTTATTAGTAAAATTTTGTAGAATAAAACCTAGTTAAGGAAAAAAAATATCATTATTCAATATAATAAAAATCATCATGAATATAAGAGGTCACAACTCCTAATTTTTTTAATGTAAATTTAAGGATTAAATATGTCTTTCCTGTATTATTTTGTGATTTTTTTTCTCTAATTTAAAGTTTTGAAAAATTTGATCATTGTTTACTAAGGACATTAAGTACTCACTTACGTGGCAATAAAAATTTCATCCAACATACATCTAATTGATATGTGTTATTTTATTTAGGACATCATTATATCTCCTCATTTATGACAAACACTATATCCATCACCACGATTGTACCCATTGCCATCCCCATAACCACCTCGCCCCATTACTTCTACGTCCACCATGGGAATATGTTCCTTTCACAATGATGTTACAATCATTGAAATTCTGCCTATGATCACATTTTTCATGGCTTATTCCAAAGGTCATGGATTTGAAATCCTTAGATAACATATTTTATCTCCTTTCGCTTTTTCTTTTCTTTTCTTTTCTTTTTCTTTTCTTTTGAAATTATAAAAAAAAAACCAAATTAACACACTTGAGGTGACTAAAAAAATACATGATTTTTAAAAGATAGAGTCAGTACCATAATTTATTAAGGACAATCATATAATTTTATTTTTTTAAAATATTTTTTAAAATCAAATTTAAGTTTAAAAGTCGATTACATATAGGAAATATATTAATACCCCTAAACATTGATAGTTACTCTCAGATAAATGTACAAAAATATATATAATTTATAAAATATTTAGTTTCCCTTAATATCAAACAAAGAAATAAAAAGAAAAAAAATAACATTTTGAAAATTATTTATTTGGGTATGACAAGAATTGATTTTACTCTTTTCATTAGAAGTGGAAAATCAAGAGTTATGTAGTTTTTGTGTGTGTGTTGAATTAAAGCTTTAATAATTTTGAAAGTGATTTATATTTTTTTGTTTTTTTAGAAAGAGTTACAAACAGTAAGATAATACAAATGATCGTACTGAATACACTTATGAATCATTATAACAAAAATTGTTGATAAGACATAAGATGATAGGGACAACCATACATATACTCAGAGTAACTTTATTTTTTATTAACATACATGATGACGCATGCAACTATACTCATATCTAAAAAATTATTTCAAAAATTTATAATATGATAAGCACTAGATATAAGATGACTCGGACAATCATACATATATCTAAACAACTATTTAATACATAAAGGTAGTATAAAACTGCATGGTTATATTAACGAACTGGTGTGAAAGATATAAAAAAAATGTTAAACAAAAAATGCATATATAAAATACCGGACATTCAATTAAACTTAATTGATTAAAACGAAAGGTTGGAAGCAGCTAAATTGGATATCAAGAAAGACCAACAATTGTTAAATTGAATAACAAAGAGCTAAAAGCTACGATTATCAATATTCAAATGCATATTCTCCACTCAACAATGTCCCTAAAATCATCGAACCAGTTTAATGAATACAAACAATTTCAGTCCAATTATAAAAATACAAAAATCTTACAAATAACATAGTCTAGTTTAAAGAATACGAACAATATCAGTCTAGTTTTAAAAATACAAATAACACAGTTCAATTTAAGATTCCATATTATAAATAGAAAAATCTAGTTTAAATAATACAAATGAGACATTCAATTACATTAATGCGAAGTGCAGAGACAAAGTTGTGATTTATAGAATGTACATCAGAGCAAAATTCCCAATCCAAACTCAACGAGTCATAGTGGCTTGGGATGAAGTGGATGGTGGTTGCAATTGATATGGGGCTGGTGAGTGAGGTTCGACTCGTAATGGCTAGTTGGGGAGAAGAAAGGAGGAGGTAGTTGGCTAGTAAAGGCGATGGGTCGCGATGGAGTGGCCCGTGGTGGGGATGATGCTCGTCATGATGGTTTGGTGGAGGAGGGCCTTGACAAGGGAATATAAGGAGGAAGGGAGGGTGAGCGCGGGTTAGGGTGTGAGGGAGAGTGAAGAGTGAGGCACCGGGTGAGGGTGAAAATGGGAGAGTGGTCGCACACCCAAAAAAGATGGAAATGAGGAAATCAAAAAAGGAAAAAATATAATACCTCAATTGAGGGTCAATGGTCCTATTTCTCTTTGGCTTGTGCGACTCCCATGTCTTATCTTTCCTTTTTATTTCATTAAATTATTTAACACTTTAATTATTCATATGAAATTAGGTGTTGACACCCATAAATGGTCTTCTTCAATTTTAACACATTCATCTCTTCTCCCTTCTTTATGTAACTAGGTAGTTAGTCAACATACACTTCTTCTTTAATCATACCATTTAAAAATGTCAAGTTGAAATCCATCTACATAGTCACCATTTATACTATGTTGTCATAGAGATCTGCATATGAACTATCTCCATTCTCACCACTGGAGCAAACACCTCGTCATAATCTACTCCTTCCTTTTATTTGTACCTTTTTATGACCAATCGAGCTTTATATCTTTTCACCTCATCTAGTGCACTCATCTTCTTTTTATATACTCACTTCACTCCAATCGTTTGTGAGGAACTTGACAATTCAATCATCTTTCATGTGTAGTTCTACTCTATTGCTTGGATTTTATCATCCATAGCAACTCACTATTTTTCATCTCGAATTGTCTCCTCAAACCTTATGTCCTCGGAGTTGTTGGGTTAGGCTCTCAACTATATGTCTAACAAGCCCAAATTAGTTAAGTTCATTTTATCTCAGTTAACCTAAATTAAGAAGGGTCTTCGAGGTTAAAATACAGAGGTATATTTTGCAGGCCTTTGGATGAAGAAAGAAAAGAGTTTCACTTATTTATCGATCCGCCTTATTAAAATTACGATTCACATTTCGTGTACTGTTAGATCATGCTGAAATTTTGACAGCAGGTTCATAGCGTAAGGTTCTTTGGTTTGACCATTGGAATCGTCAATTTGAGGTCTTTGATTGGAGATATCAGTCTCACACTGTGACTGATTTTTAGGTTTCTTTTTATGTTCTTCATATTTGAGAGCACTGTTGCTTTGATATATTGACTACTTATAGGTATTTATTTAAGCATTTTGATTTGACTCTCTTGTACTCATACTTTTGATATTAGTGGAGCTTGATTGACTAGCTTGTGCCCGTGGATTTTAACTTCTCACACTACAAAGAAAAACACCAAATAGTGACTGAAAGTTCGGTCACTAAATGACCAAAATCGGTCACTAACTAAAATAGTGACCAACTGGAATCGGTCACTATTTCCTTGGTCACTGATTTTAGTGACTAATTCAGTAACCGAATCAGTGACCGACTTAGTGACCGATTCAATGACCGAATCAGTGACTGATTCAATGACCGATTCAGTGACCGAATCAGTGACCGATTTAGTGACCGAATCAATGATCGATTTAGTGACCGAATCAATGACCGATTTAGTGATGAGTCCCTAGTTACCCCGGAGGCGGGAGAGGTCATCCCTAAGAGGATTACTAGTAGCATGACTAGAAGGGAGGCCTTCTCTTTACCTTCCATTTTGAATTTACTTAGTATCTTTACTTAGTATTTTCTTTTTCTAAGTTTTTCACTTATTTTCGCTTTCTTTTTGTAGGCTCACTTTTTGCACCTCCTTTTTGAAGAATACCACCTTTTTTTGGTGGAAAAGAAGCCTTGGATCCATAGGATACATGCATGGGCAGCCCAAAGGTGTAGGACACTCCTTTTTCATGTCCTACACCCCTTTTTGGAGAGAAAGAAGCTTAGGATGTGAGATTGGTTGGCTTGAGACAACCCAAAAGGAAACACACCTCTTTTTTCATGTTCTCCACACCCTTAGAGGTATTTTTGGTGGGGTAGAACGAATTTAACATATTTGGACCATGGGGAATCTAGCCTTTAGGTTTAGGTTAAATTTATGTCTTCTTTTATAATTCCATCTAGGTCCCTCCCCCAAAAGCCTATAAATAGAAGGCTTCCCCTCATGTAATTAGGTTGAACATTTATGAAAAGTTTGTGAGGTTTCTTAGAGTGTTCCAACTCTTTGAGTGTCTTATCTTGAACCTTGGTTCAAGTGGTGGCAACCACCACTTATCTAGGGTGGCTCATCCCCCTAGTGGCGTGCCAACACTCCATCACCACCATAATTCTCTTCTCTTCCTCTTTTCTTCTTTATTTCTTCCCTTCATTTATTTATCCAAGGGGCTGGTCCAATTTTCCAGCCCTTGTCTTTATTCTTTTCTAGTTTCATTCCATCTCTTCCTCCCTCCATAATCCTTGAAAATGAACCTTCACATCTAAATATGCAACTATCTTAATGTCCAGTGGAAATTTTCCTTGGGTTTGCTTACTTTATTGCTTAAAATTCTGCACCTTATCTTCTTACAATTCTGCACCTTACTTTATTTTACATCATTTGGTATCAGAGCCTGGTTGTTTCTAGTAAGGTATTCTTATTGTTGCTTTGACTTTATTCCTTGTGTAGTTTGTGTTTTGTGCTCTAAATTGTGGTTTTTTGTGGTCATTTGGTTTGCGGTGCTGCACTCAAAAGTTTGGGCGTGAGGTTAGTCCAATACTACACTCACCTAAGTTTCTTTTTATGGCATGTATGATGTTTGATAAAATGCCTAGCCAAAAAAAAAAAATTCTGCACTTGATTAAATTACATATTCTTCTAAGTTTAGTGTCTTTCTAAATGTGCCTAGCCTTTGCTTGAGTTATATGTCTAGTATCTCTTGTTGAAGTTTTCTTTTATTGGCTTCCAACACTTGAAATTGCATGATGAATTAATTAGTTAAGTCCATGCATGATGAATTGATCTAGGATCCTAAACATAGGAACTAAGTGATCAAATTTTTGCTAGCAACTTTAAACAACTTTTGGCAAGTCTAGAATCAAGTTAGAACAAAAGTATTTTTACAAAAAAGTATCTTGATCAAAACCTTATTGCTTCAAACAAAAAAAAAGGAAAAGAAAAAAAAAATGCACTTATAAGATTTGATTCTAGAAATTGTCATAATACTTGGTTTCATGATTAAAATTTGGTAAATTAGTTCTAACATTGTAGGAACCTTAGTCTTATTTATGTGTGTGCTTGGTTGAAAATTTTGATTGCATGTTTTAAGTGCTTCTCAAATTTCTTTCTAGTTTTTCTTGTTTTAGTTTTGTTCAAAGTTTTATCTAAATTTCCCTCTTAGTAAACCTTCCTTGATTTTGTGCTTTTATTGCTTGTCTTAGGTTTCTTTAAGTTTTGTCTTTGAAAGTTTTCTATTTTTTGGATCTCTTAAGTGTTTTGGTTGGTGTACATCTTTCCATTTGATTGTCATTTTTCAAGAGAAATTTTTAAGACTTTAAAGAGAATTTTGGAACATTTAGAAAATTTTCTACTTGAAGAGTGGAGTGATCCTACCAATCAAACTTGTGTGAGGAGCCAAACACTTGAGTGACTTGATTTACATTTTAACCTTTTCATCTTTCATGTTTTGTGTTAGTTTAACTTGTTTTGCAGACATGTCAAATTCCTCATCAGAGAAGACAAGCAATGTGGGGACATCTAATGAAGGACAAATACAAGGTCCAACGGAAAAAACTCTAGTGGAATTAATTAAAGAAATGGAATTGTCCCAAAAGGAAAGTGAAAGACATTTGAGGGAGACAATCCAAAGACTAGAAGCTGAGAAGTCCCAAAGAGAGAGAAGACGTTTATACTCACCAAGTTCCCAAGAGGAAGAAGATAGGAGATACCATGGAAGGAGACAATCTAGGCGCACCAACACTCCAAGAAGGAACAACATTAAGATACCCAAGTTCTACGGAGATAATGATCCAAAAGTCTACCTAGATTGGGAGGCTAAAGTGGACCAAATGTTTAATGTAAACCCAGTAGGGGACCAAGAACAAGTAGATTTAGTTGTAGTAGAATTTGAGGGATATGCCATGACTTGGTGGCATAAGGTTTGTAACGATAATTACCAAGGGCCACCCGCGGCTTCTTGGATGGACATTAAACATTTAATGCGCGCTAGATTTGTTCCTTCCTACTATAGGAGGGAGCTCTTATTGAAGCTGCAACGACTTCAACAGGGTAATATGTGTGTGAATGATTACTTCAAGACACTAGAATCTTTGCTACTTAGGGCCGGTATGCATGATGAAACTAATGAGACTAAGGTAGCTAGGTTTGTTACTGGTCTTAGAAGAGATATCCAGGACTAAGTAGAATTATACGAATACTCCTCAACTGAAAATGTTTTACATCTTGCCCTTAAAGTTGAAGCTCAATTGAAAAGAAAAGATGGGGCTAAAAGGAGTTATTCACATAATGACTACTACAATTCAAATTGGAAGGACAAGGGCAAGGAAAAGGAAAAATCAGAGAGAAACCCTTCCAAAGCTCTCCAAGAAGTGTCCCCTAAGGGAAACCCTTCAAGGAATACCACTCCTAACACCTCTGCGCCTCAAAGGACTAGTTCCATAAAATGTTTCAAATGTCTCGGGTATGGACATATTGCTTCAAACTGCCCTACCAAAAGGACTATGATTTTGAGCGCAAACGGAGATGTTGAGAGTGAACATTCCTCCTCATCTGAAGAGAATTATTCTAAAAACTCTTCCTCAAGCGATAAAGAGATCACACCTTGTGACGGTGATTTGTTAATAGTAAGGCGTATGTTGGGTCAAGTCCAGAAGGATCTTGACAATACTCAAAGAGCAAATATTTTTCACACCCTCTGTCTTATTAATGACAAATTGTGTTCACTCATCATCCATGGGGGAAGTTGTGTGAATGTTGTTAGCACGAGGGTAGTAGACAAGCTTGGTTTACCCACTACTCCTCATGCCAAGCCATACAAACTTTCCTGGCTTAGTGAGGAAGGTGAGATAAAGGTCAATAAACAAGCCCTCATTAGCTTTGCCATTGGGAACTATAAAGATGAGGTTCTT